GGTAGTAGCCGAAATAGGTATATAGATAGCTAAGAACCGTTCAATAAAATAGCGGTAGAACCCGGCGTACCCTATAAACTACTAGACGTCGAACGTATATTTAGGGATAGGCTATTCCTATATAGTTTTGACACGTTCTTTTTCTATACTTACCCCTTCTAGGGTGATCACAAACCCAAGGAATATAACCGAATCGGTATAGAAGCGGCACTTACTACGTTTTGCGTATAGCTAGTAGGTACGTAGCCGTCGAAAGACTTCTCGAATATACTCGATATACTCTTCCTTATTCTAAGAGAATATTAGGATATCGTCTAGATAGACGACACAAAATTGGTCGAGGAGGTCACAAAGCGCCCTATTAATATACGCTTAGAATATAGTAGGGGTATTCGCTAGTCTAAATAGTATAACCGTGTATTCGAAATAGCCGTATCGCGTACGGAACGCTATCTTCTATTCGTCTCCCTCCTTAATTCGGATCCTATAGTAGGCATCCCGGAGGTCTAGCTAGGTAAAGATTTTTGCGCCCGATAATCGGTCTATTGTCTCGTTTACTAGCGGTAGGGGGTAGCGGTTCTTAATAGTAATGTTGTTAAGACCCCGATAGTCTACGTATAACCGCAAAAACCTATCCTTCTTCTTAACAAAGATAATTAGTGCGCTAGCTAGACTCTAGGAAGGCCGAATCTATTCCTTAGCTAGTATTTTATTAATATAGTTTCTTAGCACCCCTAGCTCGTTTGGGGAGAGAGGGTAAATTAGCTAGTACGGTAGCTAGGCGCCCTTCTCTAGTTCGATAGCGTAATCCAAATATATAGACTAGGGTAGTTTGCCCGCGTCTTCCTCGCTAAAAATATCTTCGAAGTCCCTATACGCTTCTAGGATAGTTTCGCTATTGTTAATTACTATATAGAAGAACGGCACTAGGCCGTCTTTGTCCGATAGCTATAGGTAGATAGCTATAACGAATACTCCGAGCGTAGCCTTATTATAATATACCGCGGCGGATATCCTAAGGAGCTACGTAGGTTTATTGTCACGGTAATTCTACGTATATTCTTTATAATTAATGTCGGGGTTAGCTAAGATAAGCTAGTCGTATCCAAGAATTATATTGTACCCTTGGATTTCGACTACCTCGCACGTAATAGGGTCTTCTCGAATAGTTCCGGCGCTATCGGTTATTTCAAGAAGTAGCTTGTGCGCTCTAAATAACCGGATAGTCTATTCGTTGATAGCCCTAACCGTCCGCGGTATAGCTTCGCTATCCAGGAGGTGTTGTTTAGCCTATTTTTGGTTCACGAAACTTGCCTCTACGCCGCTATCCACAAGGACGCTTATAGGGATACCCCTATCGGCCAGGATAATAACCGTTTCGCAGACAAATACCTTTTCTCTATCTAAATACGTTTTAGCGGCCCTAAGTGCGATTGCGGTAAGGTTCACTAGGGCTATCTATTTTTTAGTACTTCGACGGTAGAGGCTCTAAGGTCCGTCTTCTTCCTTATATAGGATCTAGCGAGGTGACTTATCTCTCTATAGTTGAAATAGGCGCTATCCTACACCTTTCTTTTCTTGGCTAGGTTAGTCGAAGTGCTATATCGTGGTATCGGATCCTATTATAATCCGTAACTACCCCTTCCTCGTCCTCGACCTTTAGTCCGGAAGGTAGGGTTATAGCCGAAAGTGTATAGTTAGGGCTAATTTCCCCGGTCCGGTAGAATAGCCCTTTTAGCGTCCTTCCTTCGGTTAGATAGGGCTAGTCGTTAGGTAGGGATATTGTTCTCGATAGTAGTGAGATAGTCGATATACTTTATAAGGTCTATTTCTCTCTAGACGTCGAATTACTCCCTCCTTTCTTTGATAAAAGGTAACACCGAGTTATAAAGCCGGGTGTAGATTTAAATATCGCCTATCCGTTCTTATTCTTTTATCTAGCCCTAGTACTAGATTAGGCGCGTAGCGTATTCGCGGACAGACTTAGTTTCTTTCTAAGTAGCTAGGTCGAATTGCTTAGATATAGCTTCTTGTAGATTCTTGTGCTTATTAATCAATCCAATAGCCTAGTTCTTTATATCCCTAAAATAAGGGGTATCGTGGGGAAACTTGACCTTATATAGCTCCTTCACCTAGTTCGAGCAATAGGCTAGCGCCTATCGCGTCTAATAAGGTTAGTACTCGAACTAGTCTATATAAGTATAGTCAGCCTCGAAGAACTCTTCTAGTGAGAAGACCTATCTTCGATACTTGTCGTTATCTTTTGCCTTATAGATCACTAGGTTAGGCTAATCCCGCGGTTTCTTGATACTACGTCGGCGTAGGGTGAATAGGGCCTTCCGATCAGATTCCTAGTCGGTAGCTTATAGCGGTCGATAGTTATTAAGCTCGAATAGCTTATCGGGGAAACTAGTTAGTGGTATAATAGCTTCTTCGCCGAATGCGATAGGCGGCTAGGTTATCTCTGATTGCGACGTACTTGCTAGAGTAGACGCCCTTGTCGGTGTATTGCTAGGTATAGTAAATAGCGTATTACTAGGTGCGAGTGGAGGTGGTCTTATCTCTGCTTATTGCGTGAGATAGCCCTACTCTCGGCGAAGTTGCTCTATGACCTAGGCTCTCCGTAGATTATATACTTCTCTCTCTAATTCCTCTAGTTCTCGTATCTCTTATTCGGTGACCGCTCCCTAAGCTGCCCTAGTTGTGGAAGATTGTTGTTCGATTATTGGCGTTGGTACCTGGAGAGGTATTAGTTCGGTCGGCGGGAATGGCCTAGTCGGTTCTTAGGTGGTTTCTATGGTCGAGTCTTTAACGCTTTCGGTGACCTAAGGCCTAGGGTCGTGCCTAGCTGGCCTATTCAAGGGGTCCTCACTAGATTGGCTCGCTTAAAGCCCTTTAGTGAGGCGTTGGGAGCGACGCGAGTTTATGGCTTGTTAGTGAGGTTCTACCGGGCAAACCGTGTTTCGGAGAGCGTTCAGAATTGTGAGACCACGTAGAGTCTCCGGTTTAGTTAGGTAAGCGAAGTAGAAGCCTTAGCTGACGTGTAGTACAATATGGTTCTATTGTAGAAGAGACTGAACGCTGACCCTTCCTAGGGTTAGCGGGGATGAACTAAATACAGGCTGGCCCAGCTTCCGGGCGGTGAGCAGTACTATACTGCCATGATTCCTGAGGCACCACTCGTGCCTTAGGTACCAACATAAGTAGTCGAGGGTCCTGACAAAAGACCTACAATCTATATAATCTTACTAGCTACTAGTCGAATATAGTGGAATGATAAAGAATATAATTAGTATATATAATATACAAGATTTAAAGTAACAATACCCGAATTCCATAGTGGTTTTTTCAAGTATTTATAGGTATACAAACACTATATATTGTGAAATATATATCCGCACACTATATATATTTATACTATGATTTCTAACAGCCGTCAAAAAATTAGTACTAGGTTTTAAGATAAACCTTAGTTTAATAATTTCTAATAGCTGTCAAAACTTAAAAGGCTAATACCCTAGCTAAAAAATATACAATTCTGACGGCCGTCAGAAAACCTATAGTGTCGCCTATAGAACTTATCTACGTATATCTAATATAAGGTCAATAAAAAGGTTATAAGTCAAATACTATGAAAACCATAGCAAAGTCTGACCTTTCTAAGCCTAAAGAACTATAACTACTTATTTAAGGTTGATTCTACGCGTTTATAGCTTTGAACACACTCTAGTTATACTAGAAAAGTATAGTGGTTCAAGGTATAGATCAAAACCGATGTAAAAAACAGTGAGTTATCTTGATAACTGAGCAGTTTTATGATTGAAATAATACAAAAGTTGGGCCGAGTTGGGTCCAAACTAGGTTTACTGGGGGCCTAGTGCTGGGCCCGGGTTGGGCCCGGGTTAATGAAGTTCAACCCGGGCCCAGGCTGGGTTGGGTTCTGGGCCGGAACCTTGGGCCCAAAATGGGCTTTGCGGAAGTCTAGTCACCCGTTCTCACCCCGTTCTCACCTCTATCACCTCGGTCTCCAGAATTCTCACCCATATCACCCACACTCACCCTAAGACATTTTTTTTCTCTATTTTATTTTTCAGGGCGCCTCGAGAATTGGCCGCGTAGATTAATGGGCTTAAGTACGGCTGAGCGGACGGGAAGCCCTGTTCTCCACACCCTGTGGTCGTATGTGCTTGGTTAACCGTTGAAAAGAAATATATTGAGGGATCAGCAGCAGTATTCAGGTACCACAGCTGAAATTGGTCTGTCGGCCGGGCTGTCGGCCCATTGGTTAAGTTAGGCTTCATCTGCATCTAATTTTAGGCTGAAGCTCATCGTTCAAGTGACTTCTCATTCCACCCCGGATCAGCCGTGCCCTCTGATTGTTTCAGGGCCGATGCGCGCACCACGCGCGTCTTCCAATTGATAAAGTGATTGGTCTTAGCAGCTTACTAGTCTAAGGCCGGACCAGAATCTACTGGAGCCGGATTCTAAACGCCCCCATAAAAGCGACGGCAGCTGAGATAGAAAAAACGTCACCTGGCAGAGGAAATCAAGCACGGGGAGTACGTAGAGCAACAGAGGTATGTCAGATATGCCAACCGACACTGTCCCCACCAATCACAACGTACACCGTGTCACTCCATATACGAATGCCGCCAATCGGAGCAGGTTTTGCCACGAGATATGGGTAACGTGAATCAATTTTGCAGATCCGGAATATGTAGAACAAACTTTGTCTGTTTCTGTTGTCAATATTCCCAAAACATGTACATGGGTATATATTGATATGTCATGGTTGAGGTAGAACTGGCTGGCACACCCGCGACCGAACTTTCCTCCTAAAAGTTATAAACATCAATATGCAGCAGCTTATTATTATACAATTAAGCAGTTCTCGAACTGCGCGCGGCGACTTGTTTCGCCATTCTTTCAGCAATAGCCAACATGCGAAAAGGCATCAGTCGGAGAACATACACAGCGTCACTCGTTCGAGTCAAAAGAAATCAAATAATCAACCCATTGGGCGACTCTGGGTTCTCAGGATCATACTTCCAGCGGCGTCTGTTTTCCAAAATCCACCACTGAGCCACATGCGCAGCCTCATTCAGCCACTTGGCTGCAGCGACGCCAGCAGTGTTTTGCACGACGTCAACCAGAGTGACAACATCAAGGTCTTCCTGAGGAGACAGCTCAAAGGGATCTTCGACGACGTTAGTGAACCGCCACGGCGCGTCAGCCACCAGGGGCACAACCAGGCGGTACGGCTGGGCGGCGGATCGCATGGAAACCCATGTTCCTCCGGGGTTCATGGTAGAGAAATGCCATTCTTGCTTGCCGTCTTGCTCGGTAATCAGCGGACGTAGCATTGACTGGCCTTCGTACAAGGGCAGCAGGTCGTTGAGGATCTTTGTCGACTGTTCATCCATGGAGCCCGTTTCAATTAGAAGATCCAAGAGAGTGGGAAGGATTTGTGTGGAGAGGACAGGGCTGTCGACTTCGATTTGGGGCATCTTAGGGTGGGAGAAGAACAGAGGCACATGGAAACTAGCAACGTGAGGATCATGCCAGGCCGTGATACCACCGTCATTTGGAAGTGATAGACCGCTGTAATTTGGTGAGCAGACTTCTTGAATAGTGTGTGGGAGATAGAACTTACTGGTCACCGGCCATGATAAGGAGAGTCTCGTCTGCGACGCCGGCTTCTTCGAGCACCTCGAGAATCTCGGCAATCCACTGGTCTTGGTAGTGCATGGTGTTGAGATGTCTGCTTATCTTCTGATTGAGACCGGAATCCGCATCGCCCATCATTTCCTCATATTCACCGGGGATGAAATAAGGAGTGTGGGTGTTGTGGGTCAGATGACTGAGGAAGAGGCGAGTGTTGTTCTTTTTGGCATCGGCAAACAGATCACGGATGTAGTTCCTCAGGACCTTGTCCTCATGGCCATGGTGTGTTTCCTCCTCATTCTCTTCTGGAATGTACTTTCTCCCATTATCGTTGATAGACTCCCGTGTCATGATGTCTTTGTAGCCGAGATGAGGAGTGAGGCGCTCCTGCTTATCCCAGGTACCGTAGTGCGATTGCATCCACATAGTGTGCCAAGGCCAGGAAGTCCAATCATCGCCCTCAGCGGTGGTGTTCGGCTGATGGTTCAATGCTTCGAATATCTGCGGCAAGCAAGGCTGGTAGATGTCGTGCATGTACTCGAGCTGGTTTTCGACAGCCATGGGGTTGGCACCACAAACAGTGCCAGTGATACTCTTCAAAGTATAGGTGCCGGATGTGTAAGCTTTGCTTGCACTGATGCCACCATAGGGCTTAGGATGCTCTTCACCCTTACGGAATCCCGTTTCAAATCCGGTCAATCTCTCCGCAGTGGGGGTAAGGTTGGAAAGTCTGGCCATGACGTCTTCGGGGATGCTGTCATTGTTGTATGACTTATCAATGAGGTCCATCATGAAAGAGTCGGAGCGGAAAGGCCAGATGTCCTGGCGGGTACTTTCCAACTTGACGAGGATGACATGCTTAATCTTCACACTTCCATTGTGAAGGGCGTCCCGTAGAGGCTCCAAAATGTTGTTTTGGAGGTTCGGAATATGCAACGGGTCTTTCGACGGGTTATAGTGTGCATACTTGGATTCTAGGATGGTCCTGTTGAAATCAAGGTAGCGGAATGGCGACCAATCCGGGAATTTACCTGTCGACTCGTCCACGGGTAACCAGTCAAATTTTGGGAAGTGGTCCAAAGCAGAATGGTCTTTCAGCAAAGGGAAGTAGCCTGGTAATGTGGCAGCAGTGACATGGGCAGGCCGATATTTGGGACCACCAAATGGCGCGAAAGGTAGGGACTCAGAGAGGTATCTGTAAGCTGTATCCTGTGGACGAACAAGACTCAGGAGAATTACCACGGAGCTACACAAGACGACGATGGCTCGCTTCAATAGCGAATGAGTTGTCTGCACGGGCGGCACCCGGGGTGTATCCAGCAGGGCCACCGAGTCGCTGTCACTGTCCTCGTAGTCATCGATAGCGATCTCCTCGTAGACCTCTGGATCTGGCAAGGGCTTCTTGCGACGGCAGCGACTGAACGCGGCAGAGAAGACTGAAGCCCAAATCTGCAGAAGCGCATCTGTAGCACGGTATAAATACGGCGTAGCAAAGTATGCACCAACCATAATCAATCCCTCGACGAGGAATGCGACGAACAGCCCGCCCAAAACAGTCTTGGCAGACACATCCTTGTGGAATGTCTTCGATCTCCGCCAGTATATTTCCAAGCCGGTTTGGACATAAAAGGAGATATTGGCGGCGGTCATTCCAGATATACCAAGACTAAAATCAGGTTAGCAGATAGGCGAATCAGAAATGGACGATAACTTACCTGAATAATACAGCGACCACAGCTGCTATGTCCCGAGTAGTCCGCCATACAAACGACCGGGTAAGGCCGCACGCGACCAGGATCAGTATGATATCCACCAAGAAGAAGGTGGGGCTCCAGAGAAGGGAGAGAAGCGTCAGTGACTTCAGATGGACGAAGATATGGAAGCATTTGGACAACACGAGCGAAATAAAAATGACAGAGAATAAATATTTGCGTGAAGTTGCCCAAGCAATGTCAATATGCTCCTGGGGAGATCTGGCGACAGCGAAAGCGAAAAAGAGCGCTTCCCGGAGATGACCACGAAGTCTGTGGGGGAAACCCCCTAGCCGATCGGAAGATTTCATCGCGCCTGCATGTAAAGAAGCAGAGTGGCCGTTAAGTCATAGGCGTGTATACAGCGGAAGACACGTCTAGGATGGAAGACTCTATATGTGAGAGTAAGAGAAAGAAAGAGCGCCTCGCAATCTGCTAAAAATGGAATCTGGGAGACGAACGGAGCTGAACGCGCAGGGCTCTTAAGGGTCCAACGGGCGGTCGTGGTGCTTACTCCACAACCCACCACGAGGGTGTTTCAGTCAAGGATCGGCAGACGTCAAGACATGGAAGTGACAGGGTCGCCCTACAGGGCCTAAAGGAGCCTCCGGTAAGGCATTGGTGACTAAATCGTGCCTGACGCAGGTATAGCTATTCTAAGTTACGTATAAATTCCAAAGTGAACTGCATGTCCTATAGTGAAAAATTTCCAACTGGGCAACTTGTCGCGTGCCCCTAAAGGATCCGCCAAGAATGCTCCAATGTTCCTATTGGCGGCAATTCTCCAATCCCCACAGTTCCATTGGGAGCCCCAAGCGAAATCGCCGCAAATTGTTAAATGCAACCTTGTCATGATCTCTACAGTCTAATATATACTACATGCAGTATATACTACATGCAGTATATACTACATGCAATATATACTACATGCAAATGGTACCTAGATAGCACGGGAAATTATTCCGACGTGTCATAGTTCATTGCGATTAGGGTCAATGTGGTCGCGTGACTCGGTCCTTATCCGCAACACAACTCCAAGACTTTAAAGCCCTCCATACTGACCAATACCTTGCAACATTGCGATATAAATTCTAACAATGACGTGATAAGTACATACGACCACAGGGTGTGGAGAACAGGGCTTCCCGTCCGCTCAGCCGTACTTAAGCCACACGCCGGTAAGTTAGTAGTTAGGTGGGTGACCACTAGCGAATCCTTACTGTTGTATGTTTTTGGTTTTTCTTTTTTTATTTACAATTTTTCTATAGCTAACCGAAAAAGAAAAGGTTAACATGAGGCAGGTAGTTCACCGCAAATGTGTATTCCAACGGCAATCAGTCTCTTAGCCTATTTTGTATGGTTAATTTGGATTCAAAAAGATAGAGTAAGCCATGTATGGCTACTAGAGATCTCACTACGTAACGACTCGACGGCGGTCAGATTATACAGATACACCCAGGCATCATCTTTGATCCTCTTCCCATTACTAGCGTATACGCCTTCCAACCGTCAATTTGTATTATGTAGTATAATCGATCGACTCCTGAAGGATAGAAATGACTGATGATCGTCGAGAATGCCCTAGGTTGTTTACAGTTTTACATGGTGTCACTGTTGATGTTTCGCTCCCAAATTTGAAACCGGTATCAGAGCTGCTATCATATACAATAATGAGAGCAAACAACAATTTGCACTCACTTAAAAGACGGAACACAGCAAGAACTTTATCGGCCCACAGCTCCGTACCAACACAAACCCAAGATAGCGCCAATAACAATAGACACAGCTGGAGGCATCTTGAACCAGGCATTCCCCGCATAGGATATGGTAGTGACAACCACCCACCATGGCTCACTAGCAAGACTCTGTCCAGCACTATTCTGAGATGTTAAATAGCCAATCTCCCACAGCCGGTAGACAGCCGTAAACACCAAACCAATCGCGGTAGCATTGACACCTCTCAATACGTGAATGACAAACTTCTTTTTCCGCAGCACCCCCCAAAAGCTCTGAAACGCAACGGCCAGAGCGAGACCCGGCACGAAGATTCCCAGCCAGCCAAGGAATGCGCCCAAGACCGTGGAATACTGCGTGGATTGCAGGGCCATGGCGCCGAGGAAGACAGCAAAATTGAAATTCGGTCCTGGGAAGGCTTGAATGATGGCTAGTCCGATGAGGAAGTCTCGGCCAGAGACCCAACCTGGGGCGACGACATAGGAGCGCAAAAGTGGGATCACGACGGGCCCTCCACCGAATATTACCGTTCCGGCGAGATACATGCTTGTGAAGAGATCCAGCGCCAAAGGAGGAGTAGCCAGTTGGCCTTTTGTGACGAGGAGTGCGATAAAGGAGGCTTTTCGATGTTAGCCTTGCCCTTACACATTCAGTTCCGGGAATGAGACGTTACCAAAGAAAACCGTCACTATGACAAATCCAGTGCGAATTCGAATCACATAGTTCGGTGACTGGGCCACTTCAGCCTCAGCTGACTGTGCCGAGCTTGACTGTCCTGCTGTATTAACGTTAACAGGGAAACTATTCTGGGCGACACCCGAATTATGGTTCTTCCTCGAGCGTATCGTCTCATGTCTCTCTGCCTCTCCAGGCTGAATAGACTCCATCTCCACGTGGGCTGTATCTGCTACCTCCGAGTCCATGGGGCGGCTGTGCCTGTTCCGCCAAGAAGTCTTTGCCTTTTGGACTTGAGCATGTAGCCATCCATCCCAAGCAGCTATGACTAAGCCGCCGCCGAGCATCAGCACCGGAAAATACCATAGGGTGTTATAGCAGAGACCAGCGCAGGCACCAAAGATGATCAAAATGCGAGATATTTTGTCACGAATAGCCTTTTCCGCGAGTTGTACCGCAGAGACCGCGACAATACCGACGGTCGCAGCATTGAGTCCAGACAGCAAGGCGTAGACGGGCTCCGGAAGAGTACGGCTTAGATTTCCAACGCCGGCTGAAAGGGCATACATTCCTATTGCGCCGGGCAGACTATAGAACGATTAGTGGTGAGCACCACGTGTAAGGATAAACCACGGCCTTACCTCCAGATAAGGAACACCATCAGGGCCGGTAAAACTCCCGCATGGAGTAAGGTAAGGCAGAACAACATCTTCGTACTGCCCGGGCCAGGAAGACCTTGACAGATAGCGAACAGTTCTTGATACTATTGACAAAACATTAATGTGGTTCTCTTACGGAAACTCCAGTTCTGGCTGAATGATAATACATACGGTCTGCTCATCCACCCACTGCTCTTTCCCACCCTTTCCCTCGACGAATCTGCTATGCAAAATTTGGAAATGTACGGGAGGGCCTCCGAACGCGGTGAAGCCGAGGTCCCATGTACGGAGGAAAACATCGGTCAGCTGGTGGGCGAGAGGCCGTTGACTGTCATTGTGTCGTGATTGGGCGTGGGATGACCATTTACGATACAACGACTGGATGGAGCGGACGTAATGCGAGAGCGGAGCTGGAAGCAGCATGTTGCAAAACTTCTGTGTCGCGTCGTCAACAGGCGTTTCTCGGGTCGTTGTCTCAGCTATATCGATGTTTCTATCACTAGCAAGTTGAGCAAAGCCGTGTTTCATAAAGTCAATTCTGGAGCTGGAGCTTGGCATAGCTGTCATCGTCTGTTGGTGATTCGCCATGCATTCTTCTTGGCATCGCGTGCTGGATGCACATTCATTGATTGGCCGAGCTTATTACAAAGGTAGTGTTCGGGCTCTGCATCTAGTTAGGATCAAACTGCGTGCCAATAAATTGAATCGCTTATGCCCCAAGCAGTATTTGATTTTTGCCTATTACCTTTCTATCCTTCTCCTAAACAGCTTCAATGTGTTTTCTTCTCGATTGTCGACTCAGCTTGGCCTGAATATCTAGCCACAACACCCGCTCAGGCGCGTTAACTGCATAGAGCGCTGTCGTGGACTAAGTAGGGTACATGTTTAGTAGCATAGTCGGTCATATAACACAGAAGAAACAACGATTTTGATGCGGTCGGAATCTAGATGTCCTAATTCAAGCGGATGTAGCTAGCGATTAAGGTACTCTGTAGGTTGACCTAAGCATACGTATAGGTAAGATGAATGTTGCCGTGCTCGTCTATTTTGCTTACGCCTAAAAGGTCACGAGGTATGTCGAAGCGACGAATATTGCTGTTTAACCTTCACGAGCGGCATTCAAAGTAAGTTGCCGTGCGCTGCCTAGATCCAAGTTGTTCAGTACGAGTAACACAGTGGCTATCACAAGTAATGTAATACATAGATGCCGAAACATGAATTACAACTGCTTCTAGAGTGGTATAACATAAGTATTTGACCTTGAGTATGTCAGTGCTGAATTCGTGGATACTGCTTTGGATCCAGAATTATAGTAACTCCGAGTAAGCGGATTAGTAATGGTGAGCATAGCATAAATAGCAAGAATTAGCAAGTAATCAAAGACAGAGATTTCAACGCCCTTATTGGCTGAGCAATCATCAGAGGAGCTCGTGCAGATATATGTAGCCAAAGTTCTAGAAACCTGAAGACCAAGAATAACCTGGCGCAAAACGGCTACACAAGGGCGAATGAGCAACGCCTCATCGCTCACTGATCACTGAGACTAAGAGGAATTAAGTTTTATATATGCTGAATGTAATACCTATTCTAGATCTGTTTGATAGGAGCCACTAGATTTAGTGAACCCCAGTAGATCCATAACATGGAAAGGGTCCAGATAGCGGGCTTGGTTATTTGTGAAGAGCTATGTGATTCTGAAACATATATTGAGGCAAAACCTAGCAGCAACGACTCAAACATTAAGCTTCGCTGTGTTTACCATAGTTGGCAACGTGTGAAACACCCTCCCTGTTTCCCTCGACCCCTTCCACAATGTCCAGAGTCTTCGGATTAAGAGAAGCACTTTTTCTGAAACAAGCGTAAAAGAGACACCCAGCAACGAAGCCCACAATCCCTAGAGATCCATACATCCACACAAGATACGGGTCTCGGGACACCGGCGTAAGACCAATACAGATTGCTGCCGCAATTCCAATCATGAGCCAAAACAAAGCAGAGATAAAAGACCTCAGGCTGACATGTGTTATTAGTTTGGAACATCCTGTGCCAGAGAGAACTGTGGGACTCACTTCTTTGGGGCATGTGTAAAGGCAAGTTCCAAGCCAGTCACGATAACAAAAGCTTCCGAAATAGCAACGAATATATACGCGGGAGCCTGTATCCACACGTGTATGCTTTTAGTAGGCGATGTGTAAATGAAGTGCTGCAACACGCTCGCGTAGACCATAGAGAATGAAACAAGCAGAAATCCGGTAAAGATCCGACGGACTGGGCTGAAGTTGATTTTGAATTTGCGGAGCAATGGATAAAGTCCCACTAAGGATAGCATTGTAAGCAGATAGTTCGAGCCTATTATTAGAAAGAGACGCACAGTCAAGAAGCGGAATAAAAATGCACAAGGCAATTGGATCTAGGTTCTGAAGGAGATCGTTCGGTGTTCCATGCAGTGCCATTTGGCCAGCCTGTGAGATGAGGTTGTTCCATATCTGAACCCAGCAGATGAAGTAAAATGGAAGGAAAATAAACATCTAAAAAGCATCTCAGTATGGGTATGTTGTGGAAATACAGAGACTCAACCCACCCTGCAGCTTCTAAATCCTCGACGGACGTCTGCAACATACTGATCCGTGTAGCGTGCTGAGGATGCAAACGGGTACTTGTCCAAGCGACCGGCAGCTTCAAGAGACGAAGGCATTGCATCAAGGAAGTGTCTCTCCTGGCGAACTATATTGAGGACTTTGCATGCATCTATGATGGCGGATCCCTGAGGAGGGACTTTGACATATTTTTTCTGACCGGATAAGAACACAACAGCCGAGAGACATATTGCACTGAATATCATCAGGCTATGCACCTTATAAATCTTCAGTAGCCGAGACTTACATTAATGGAATCAGATATGCAAGCCAAAAAGATGCCTTAGCCTCAACATTAACCGTGACCAAGGGAGAGAGAGCACCGACGTTGACTACCCAATAGAACCACATGAAGAGTCGCTGTATGGTTAGTTCTAGGTCAACAACCACGACCTCGCCTGATTCTAGTGTCTTTAGAACCGGCTCCGCGTTCTGGTATTGTTCGGCGCACATGGGAGTCACGTTGGCTTTGATCCCACCGGTTCCCAGGCCAATGATGACCATTGCAGCAACCAAACCACCAAATCCAGCATTACTCTGAATGCCGGCCGGGGTTGCAGTAGCGACGAGGATGGTCAAACCCCCGACGTAGATCCCTAAAGAGATTGTGATGGCTTTGAATTTGCCTACATATTGATCTGAAGAACCATCAGCAACAGTTTTGCAAGACTTTTGGCCATTTTTTGGACTCTACCTGCAATGATTGCGCCAATTATTGTAGATGCGTAAGCCCAAAATTTGAAGAAGTTTCCAAGGGCTGATGCGACTGCTTGCCCTCTACCTAGTGCACCGGGGAGGTCTGACCCGGGATCATAGGGGTTACTGAATGATAAAAGGAAATCAGAAACCATTTCCGAATTGTTCAAGTTCTTCATACACCGCGAGTTTGACCCACTTAATGTAATTTTGCATTGGACCGCTGAGGCCAAAGTAAGTGAACCGCTCGCCAAGCTATTGAGTCGAGATTAGCATGCAAATGGGGGGGGCATCGGCGTGTTAAGTGGGTAAACTCAATTACCTCGACAACAAGGATCAGTAGTGCGATACGTGGAAATTTGTCAGGGATACGCCGATGTCCAGCATAGAGATCGGCTGGCCCCAGTTCAACCTTCTGCATGCCACTTGTGTGCTCTGCCCGGTCATGGAATGAGACAGAATCCATGTCGTCGGGAGCAAGTCGCGTATGGTGTCGTTGATCGACCCGAGCAAGATACTGGCTATTTACTACCCATGATAAATGTAGAGGGTATGTTTAATATAAATCATGCTCGCTTGGTAAACAGGTGACAAACCTGGGGTGGCCCCGTCCCCGCAGATAAGCCGCCCCCACCCGATGCCTATCGGAGCCCTAGATCGGAGTCGATGTGTACTTGTATGCCGCCAACCGGAGTTCTGCAGGATATCCGAGGTGTATCGAGGGGTGAAAAGCCTTTGTTGATAATGGCATATCTTGATAGAGGGCTTTTCAAGGTTGTTTACCCTTTTCTTTTTGACATTCTGCCATCTCAATTGTCTTTTACAGGTACCCAGTTGCTCTACCAGATCACAATGTCGACTACGCAGACAGCAATTGTGATAGAAGAGGGCAGTCAGAAGTCACGGCTGTCTATCCCGAAAAGACTCCTTGGTGATGTAGACCCCGAATGGGTCAATCTATGGGAAAGACATGGTAGCTCTATGGTGAAGGCCGACGAGCTATCCCTTGAGGAATTTCGGAAAGATCCCGCTGCTTATAGCTTCACATTCCCAACATGCTCTGGTGTGTCTAAATTCGAAGATTTTGCCTCTAAAGCCAGCCATCCATTGAGAACTCAAGACTCACTGTAACACAGGACCCCCCGTTTTTCACATCGAGGACATAGAGATCCCTGTTTCCAGACCCGCTGGAAATATTGTGATCAGAGTCTACACACCTGAAGGACCAGGGCCATTTCCTGTTCATCTGAACTTTCATGGAGGTATGTGTGGTCATCAAGTAGAAAACCCAGTTGCCATTGTTGACCTCTTGACAATGTATTTCTGGATTTAGGCGGGTGGGTTCTTGGAAATCTAAATTCCGAGGCAACATGGTGCCGAAAAATGTGCAATAAAGCTCAAATCAAAGTTGTCGATGTCGACTACCGCCTCGCTCCCGAGTTTCCGTATCCCACTAGCATATACGACTCGTGGGATGCTGTGAATTGGGTAATTAAGATGCTCGAGCCCTTTCTACCATATTTTTGCTGAAAACGAATGCGAGTACAGACAATCGCAAACGTCCCGCGACTTAACATTGATCCAATGAGTGTCTCCATCGGTGGCCTGTCGGCGGGGGGTCAAATGACAGCTGTATTAGGCCATTTTGCCCGTGATGCAGGCATTGACCTGAAGCTGCAGCTGATCATTGTTCCAGCAACAGATATGCGCTACTGTCTAAGAAAGCGGGAGTTGAACGAGACAACTTGTCCCTATGAAAGTGTCTTACTATATCATGACGTACCTTGGGGGCCCTTGGGGAGAGAGCAATGGTTTCTAAAGTATTGGCTGGGCGATGATGACGGTAAAACTTCTCGTTCTCGTTTTCCTTTTAATGCGAGTACCTGAGTCGGTATACTGATAGCCAGTCAGATTTACAAGAGAAGATATTGACAAAGGAGTGGATCTGCACACCCGTTCTGGCTCCTTCATTCAAAAACCTTGGGAGGGCGCACATTATCACGGCCGAGTTTGATCTTGAACGGGATGAAGGTGAATTTTATGGGTTTCTTATGCAAAACGCTGGGAACCATGTCACAATGAAGAGATACCCCGGAATGCCCCATGCGTTCGCGCATTACAATCACCCAAAAAGAGGACTTTCGCAAAGCTTTGTACATATCGAGGATACAAGTCGACTCCTTCGGGAGGTGCATTTTAGAAAAGGTGGACAATAAACTGAGATACATTATGAATAGATGAAATCAATAAGTGGTAAAATCGTTCCATTGGGAACTAATATCATACTCGTGGCATAAAGAAGCATCCGCAACATCGAGTGAATCCCTGTTGTCAAGTCAATGCAGACCAACGGAGCTGGAAAGAGCGCTCGAAATGAATTACCATTATCTCCATTTAACTATCTGCAGCGCTATTCTCAGACCATTCCTCCAGCCAACGATCGAAATATCAACTGATGCAAGGCATCTGATGGCGCGTGAGCAGGCCCGTACCCGAGCAGAAATATGCTTCTCCACAGCGGTTGATTTCATTCATGATTTAAAACCCGAGGACGTTGAGACTGTATGGCCAGCTTGGAGTGCGTCCGCATGCTCATCGATCTGTTTTCAGATGCTCGAAATGGCCGCGAGCTCCGTTGATCGCAAAGAAGCAGATAAATGGGTGGCTTGTCTCCGTGAAGTACGTCGAAATATGCGCCTAAAAGCTGATTTTTTACCTTGCCTTCATCTCGGCCTTCTGCGGATCGACTCCATATTTTGGAAAAGGGTGGACAATGTGCTGCATATGGATGAGCATGTTCAGGAAGCGTTTGCATCGTGTTGAATATTGGTTGATCTCTTGACATAACGGGTATGGTCAAACGACCCCTCGCCCACTACCACTGAATTAACTTCTTATATCCATACCACATATGATTACACAGAACTCCATTGAATATGCTAAATCGTTAGAAGTTCAGATCTTTGGCCAGAACCAAGATATCTACACGGGCCGGTTGGGCTACTCTCACTTCATCCCAGCACCAGAAGCCGTCAGACTTCCATTTCCTTCGGGGTTTCTTGTTTTTCATCCGAGGATTTATTTAAAGCCACGGAAATGTAAGCCATTTGAAGATGTATTCCATGAGCGCAAGAACTATCAATACTATACAAACTTGCTCTGCAGTTGTAGTCAAAATACTCCCACGCCTGATTAACCAACAAAATATACATGATACAACTTGAATCAACCTCGTCTATGAGCAAGCCGCTTGTGGGCTCGAAGCTTATCCTCGCGCCCAAGTCCAAATGTCTTTTTGCAGTGTGAACACTTCAGTGCCTTCGGTGAGACGTGGGTTGATTTGATGTGTCGCCAGAGGCATGCCTCACGAGAAAACCCTCCGGAGTATGTACAGCCCTTCCAGCCACAATTGATCAGAGAGCGCATCGCACTAAGACAAAATTAGAGATTAGGGTTGAAAAGAATGCGAGAAGTGCTGTAGGAACGTACTCAGATCTTGGTGTTTGGATTTCATCTTCGGAAACACTGTGTGTTCCGAAAGCATGGCTATCGCCGAAGAATTCGGGGAGTGCGTTGTGAAAAGGAGGATTCAGAGGCTTTCGCTCAATTCTTCCAGACGTTTCGTGAAATTGATTGCTTGCGTCCGTCTGACAGGACCAAGTTGAGCTGGCATGAGACTCTGGCGACATGTCTTGTGAGATAAGCGGGGACGATGTTGTGCTGTATGTCTTTGTTGCTTCTGAAGAAGGTTGTAGAGTCGGAACGCATTGAGAATTGGCAAAGAGCTCAGTTGTGGGCATGCATATGTATGATGTGGGTGTCCAAGGATATGGCGAGTAATAAGCCATCCAGTCTATGTCCTTGGTCTGAGGATCAAAGTGCTCGGAGTCCCTGTAAGAAGTGCAATATGATGCCATTGTGGAGATATTGTGTGTAAAAAAGATGATATGTGCTGCTTTGAAGAATTAAGTTTCGGAAGTGAGATAGTTCTTGAGAGTAATGATGTTTTGGATACACGCGGGCCCGAAAATATATGTAGCGCTCATGCCACGAGCCTTTGCCCACCGTTAGGGGCCATGCATCACGTTGACTGTCTTCATTCGACTTGTGCGGGACTAGTACACGACAGAATGAGGTTAGACGTAACGGGCGGAAATTACAGGCGCGTCGACTGTCGATTGTTACCTTGGATCTTCGCTGTGGAGGGATTTACATGCTCCCAACATGGACAAACTATACTTTGCCGATCTTTTGGCGCGATCTAGAGACCAGATACCAAAGATACCAAAGCTCGGCTTTGAAAGTACTGTTTCCCTTTTCGGGTATAGTTGCCTTTCAAACGCTATGGACAGCTCGGTCTTTTAAGATAACCCAGTCACAGGACCCGAAAGCAGGGACCAGCAAGGGTACTGCATGTCAGATCTATCTTAGCGAAGAACGTGCATTTGCAATGCAAGATACTCCTTCGTATGAGACTTGTCACATTACCCCTCCCCAATTGATTTGTTTGCTCACAGTGAAGCCCTGTTGGAAGCAGCTGGTGTGTACACTTTGCCTTGCAGTCCATTGTCACTGGAGTATCTTTGAAAAGGGGCTTGGAAGGCCGTAGCTGAGGCCCTCAGGATATCCCGGAGATATTCCGCCCACTGCGGCAGGCAACCTGTGTCATGCAACAGTGCATACGAGAAGGTGCAGGTTAGTTATATTAAGGCATGCAGGCTTTCTAGAACGTTGCCCAATATGGAACACTTCCAAATACGGAAGTCATCCAAATGTGGACTAGCGTGTCTCGGCATGCCTTTTTTCAATCGACGGCTGACCGAAGGCTTGTATAAACGTGCTGATCGCAGGGTTAATCTATTGAACCATGTCCTTTCCAAGATCAACTCTCAATTGCCGAATATTTAGGTTCACCTGACCCATTTGCCATGCGGCTGACAGGACTAGTCCAATTAAGTAAATGGTCATCCTTTAATGTTTCACTAATGGCTTCCAAATTGCATATCCGACGTCTCTCTTTACCTCCCAGACCAGCCTGCCTACCTAATTTTGTCACATCCTACATTCGTAGCACTGTGGAAAACTCATGATAACATGCACACACATCGCATAAATCATCTGCCGAAGGCGGTGACTCTATACTCACTAGTTCCGACCTACGCGAAAATACCAGCCCAACACAAACCGGGGGACCGAGCGGGGTTTCAGGGGAAAGGATTTCGAGGCAACCCAGTCATCTCACCACTGCACCAATATTGTCCATCGATTTATGGCGTCCACTCAATCCAGTACCCAGTCGAACCGGGTCCCACACCCCAAACCAGCCAAGAATTTACCCGTTCGGCAGCGAGAATTCCTGTGGGTGGATTACCAGGATGATCGATCGAAGGGCCGCGAACTACTTCGGTCTAAACAGGCTTTTGTAAGGACGCGACATCATCGATTACGGAGAGAAAAGCAGCAGCAAGGCACCCCCGGACAGTTCCCCACGGGGCATTGTCCACCGCCTCATACCAATGCCTCAACCCGCCGTGTTTCAAGCGATAACAGTGATTCCACCAGTGATTCTGATGGCAGTCCAGAGCGATTGCCGGTAACAGTCCGGTGTCTCGAAGCCGGGGTGCTTGATGGGGGCCCTGGTCTGGCTTTTAGCCCAAACCATAATCCGAATATTTACTTCCATCATTGTGAGTCCATATCGGGCATGGTGTCGGATTTCCTATTCTAACCTACATATCCGTCATATCTGGGGGTAGAATGCGGCTAATACATCAATCAGACCGAATGCATAGCGCAAGGGCCTGTTTCCCTCTCTGCTCCAGTGATGTCACAGTCTGGTTTTGGCAGAGAGCAGTCCAAGATCCCACATTGATGCTAATAAAGTTGTCAATTAGTGCGTCGCATCGAGCTGCGATTTTAACGGCATCTGGTGCTTCGATGGCAACTGTGCAGAAGCCAACGCATGACGCGATTCGCCTTCGTGTTGGAACGATCAAATCACTCCAATGCATATTGCGGGATACAGCCACCATGTACTCCGAACAAACAATTTTTATTATTTCTCACATAATTGTTTCAGAGGTAAGAGTTCTTCCTGTTCTCATCATGGGGGGTTGCTCACCGGTCTCGTTATAGGCTTTGGAGGCCAACATAGAGGCTGTCGACACGCATATGAACGGCATGAAAAAGATAATCGACGCCGTAGGCGGGATGGATATGCTTGAACATGGAACGCTTGCAATGCTCTATAGGTAAGAGACAACACTACAACGTTCATGACCTCCACTTATTCGTTTTTCTCTCGGTGCAGCTGCCAATATTTGCGAGGCATTATGAGCAACTCTATGCCAGTACTCGACATGTGCGCGAAATTCCAAAGCCGAGTCCTTAGAGAATCTGCCTTCTTCAGGTCCAAGAACCGATTTACGGAAAGCTCCTCTCTTGGTACTCGCTTCTTCACCGCTTCTTGGTCTAGGGACATCCAGCCTACGTTCAAGTCAATAATATCCTCATACCAGCAACTTATTTCTTACTATGAAAGCTTTGCCAATGTGGATGTCGAACCAATGTCGGTCGAGAACGACTGCTTACTGTTTCTCGGTTACCGATTAATATCTCTACCATATGAGGTCTCACTCACTCCCTTCGAAGAGACCTTGCGACTCAGCATCATGACCTACAACAGTGTCCGAATTTGGGCATTGTATGGAATACCCTGCCTGGAACGTCTCGTAGACATGCTGCGAATAAGCCTGTTTACGAGTCTCTCCGCTCTTCAGAGTACCGCGCCTGACTTGCTCTTCTGGATATTTTTCGTTGGGAGTCTTGCGTCAAAGTCAATGAAGCATCATTCATGGTTTGTTGCACATCTCACCGATGTTGCAGACCAATTGTCATTACAAAAATGGGATCGTGCTGTCGGGCTGTTGGAGAAATTCTTCTTTGTATGTCGGCCTAGTGATGAGCCGGCGAAGGATTTATGGCAGTCTACCTTCCGACCGGACCTTGTGATTGTCCAGGAGAACCGGAAATAATGATTTTGTGAAAGAATTGCCTGTATATATGATACCAAATGACGTTATATCCAAATGTCACTGTTTACGCTTTTTGTCGCTGTTAAGATTACCTGGCAATTCTTCCTACTTACAGTAGTACCCGGGTTGGCTCTGAGTCAATCTGCACAATAAGTGTATTCTCAATGTTGTCTGTCCATTTCCCCTCTGAGGAAAGGAACTGTTGTTTACGCTGTATGTAAAACACGTCTTCTGGGTATTCCGGGTGACTGGTGAGGTTGCCGAGATAGCTGCGATTGCAGATTATTTGTTCATCGTCATCAGACAGGTGGAACAGAGTTCCGCGACCGTGGCGGTCCTGGTGTAGCTCAAAGCCGCTGCCATTGTACTGAATGGCAAGAAAGTGGCCTGTGACTATGAAGCGGAATGGTCGTCTGAAATCCGTTGTACAACAGTCACAGCGAAGCCGACTGCAAAAAGTGCGCCAGCAGCAGTTCCAGAATGGTGGTATTGCTCTCCCTTTCATATTAGGTTGGTCGAATCAATGGCCAATGTAGGGTCAAGGCTTCTTGAAGCTCACAAGTCTTATTTGGTAGAGCATCATAGCTTCTTGCATACCTTAGTATATGCTTTCAAGTAGCTAGGTATAATCTTCTCCCATAAGTCAGTCCTGTCAAGGTATGCCTTCTCTTTCACGCAATTTTGTTCCGTAACCAACGACGTTAATTAAACACTTTTCGCCATGATAACTGGTATAAGCTTGCTGTTGAGACAAAGTGCTAAATAATTTGAGTGTTCTCGGGTCGTGACAGAGATGTTGTTGTCGTAGCTCGCTGCCGTACTCTCTCTTTGTCACCTTCACGACATCATCTGCCAGGCTCTCGATTGTCTTTGTGTATTGCGGTAGTCCCATATCTTCCATCTTCAATGCATCCATATAGCACACAAGATATATTTTATTCCTCAGCTCACCGCGCTAGGAAGGTTATTTGTCTCCGTTGTGTGCTGTCACGTGGCAAAGATGGCAGCCTAGAAGCGCGGACTCGGGTATAATTGTGGGCTGAAGACGTAGATAAGCACTAAGGTCCGGAGGCGCTCAGGAGATCAAAACCATTCCGTAAGCACAAGGGTTTCTCATCATCTTGAAAGAGCTTCACAGACCGCTGGTGTTGACACTTAGTTTACCGGTATCCACTCCTTATTGAGATATTGAGATATTCTCATTCACAGTACAAAGCACATCTCTCAATTGAGTCTACATCGAGGAGCTCGAGGAGGTAACTTCAACGCGTGGTGGAAGACTTAGGAGGTCATCGTCAAAGAAGCTTCCAATTTCAGGCTCATGTGATCAGGCGGACAGAATGAATGGACTGTGGGGGCTATCCAGGCTAGCCCCCCCCAGTAAGTCAAACAAAACTCCTCAAATGTCATCACTATTGCATCTGGCAATCATACTAAAATCAGAGCCAACGGGGCCGGGCCGGCTGGCCTGGGCGGGGACTTCCAAAAAGGGAAAGCAATATATGATTGGCCAAATGTAGATAAGTGGGCCTTCTATCAGACATTATGGCTTTTGATTGGTAGAATCTGGATCCACAATTATCTCTCAGCCTTGGGCTAATCCGAAAGAAGACGCTAATATCAGATTGGTCAGGTGTATATAGAAAGGTCCAGGGTTGGGTGGTATAGCCCCGAGAGAACATATAAAGTAGGAGGCCGTCCGGCGAAAAAATATGTTTATACATTCTGCTTCTTATATCGTGTCATCAAGAATCACGCTTTCCGCCTATTTCCAGCTGTTCCATTCCATACAACAAATTCCGTTTTCCCTACCCACACCACCCAAACAATCTTTATATAGCTAGACCTTAGCTAGTATACACGTCAGATCCCTTTGCAAGATGGTGATGCTTCGTTTGACCGCCGAGCAATATCGGACGCTGCCGATTTTGGTAGACGAGGATACGTGCATCGGCAAAACCTATGTTATCACCGGTGGCAACTCTGGCCTAGGCCTTGAAACGGGACGACACTTAGTCGCAGCGTCAGCTGAATGCGTCGTGCTGGCCGTGCGGAACCTTCAGGCTGGAGAAGCTGCCAAGAACGACATTGAGAAGACAACAGGCCGCAAGGGAGTGGTTCAGGTATGTCTGCTGCAGGTGTTTGAAGACTATCGTCAATATTGACAATTATAAAGATACGGCATATAGACATGTCAACCTGGGGGTCTGTCCAGAGCTTCACAAAGAAGTTAGCAGAGGAATTTGACAGAATTGACGGCTTCATCTGCAACGCCGGGATCATGATCGACGCGTGGTCGCAGTCCGAGGGTATGGAGACGAGCATATTCGTCAATGTTATCAATACTCTGTTCCTCGGCGTTCTCATGATGCCCAAGCTCGAGGAGTGTGCCAGGAAGTTCAACATCAAGCCTACCCTCATCTTCATCCTCAGTGTTCTTGGGTACACTGTCAAGAGCGAGATTGACAAGAGCCGCAACGGTGCCATCTTTGATGGGCTAAACGACCAGAAGCGGGCAAATATGGACTCAAGGTGAGACTTACAGTTTCATCCCATTCTTTGGAAATGCAATTAATGTATGGTCGTAGATATGCTCTTAGTAAGCTGGTCGAAGAGTGCGCCGTACGGCAGTTTGCAGCCCTCTGCCCTGTCGAACGCACGGGCGTCGTCATCACCATGGTCGCTCCAGGTCTCTGCACCACCGGTCTCGGCCGCGATGCCCGAACCTTCACCAGGATCATGCACGAGGCGCTCCGGACCACGATGGCCCGAACTGCAGAGGTGGGCAGCCGCACATATCTACATGGGCTGGTGGTGAGCGAAGAGGGCCACGGTAAGCTGCTTTCTGGCTGCAAGATCAAGGAGTGCTGGGTTCCCACGTGGCTCACCAACAAGGAGGGTCAGCAGCTACAGAAGAGCATCTGGGATGAGCTCGTTTCTATGCTAGAATCTGTGCAGCCTGGCTGCGTCTCACAGCTCAAGTAGTTTTTTTGAATTGCGTCGTTCTTTTCGAGACCAAGATCTAATCGAGAGCGGCAGCTTTCGAAATGCCTTTCCTTTTAGACAGCCATTTCACTCAGTTCCAGAATCTGGATTTTCAATCCCATTTTTTGACTTCATTAAATCCCCTTTACGGCCTTGACGCCACCACAAGACAAGGCTGTAGTACGGACGTACTGCAATGCATCTTGGCATGTGAAGAAGACTTGCCAAGCATAGAGCACTGGAGAATGGCAAGGTAATGCAAGCTTACATTGGCTTCTAGTGCACTCAGAAGAGACATCCTTATATCAAACCGTGCAACTCTTCCGAGTCCTACCACAAGGCTCAATATGCAGGCACCTAATGAGACCCACCGTAACTTTAATGAGTGGCTGAAATGATAAGATGCAGTATTCTCATGATACCCGGTATTATGATCAATTGTTGTCCAATTCCATGACAATTAAATTATCGTGATAGAGTATCCTGTAAATTCTCTCTGCTCCCCAATCGTACATCCTCCCATAGACGACAGCCTGGGGCTTCGTGCAAAGTGAATATCCAAGGAAACTGACTTAGCTGCTGCTGGATGGCTGTCCAATTTTTCAAGCCTAGCCTTGTGCAACTGTCGACAATTAAAGGTGATATCCAGTGATGGTCCTTTAAGCTTAACCCCGATATCCCGCTTATGAAAAGAATCCATAACATCAGGGGTAAATTATAATCCGTATGCCATGATGCCGTGACGCAAAGGTCTTGCAGAGCGCTACCCAGACGATCAGAAAGAAGGGGGAAGCTAGGCCCAGCGCGGTTGAACTCAGGTAACAAAGTCGTCATAAATGATAGCATTGCAAGGTACGTCACATGTTCACAGAGTCCCCCGGTTTTGGTAGAGGCTTCCATTGGAGACGAGCCATCAACAAGGCGATACAAGAGCGAGAGAAGTGTCTCTGTATAGTCTAGAGGGTCAAGTTTTGGTTCTGGCCTTTTCTCTGTTGCGTTAAGCAGCTTTGAGAAGCTGAGCAGATCTAGCATGATGGGTGGCATCCAAGGGGTAACTCCGGGAAAATGCGCACTGCTAGCATCGGGATCGCATAGGACCGAGTGAATCGGCACTTCATTGCCGTGAAATAAGGTGGGTGTGCCATTCTGGATTGCTAATTCAATATCGAGCCTAAAAGTAGTTAGATGAGAATTATAGACTGTTATTCCGAATCACACAATGCCAAAACGAGGCGAAATGAAGGTAAGCCGCGAAATCAAGACCTTTCACATACCTCAGCGGCTTCATTGCCAGTACACGATTTTCTTTCATTAGCTCTACGATCCCACCCCGCAGCTGAATCATGCGATAGAGCCCTTGGAGATGTACCATTCCGATTGTCGGCTGGTGATGTACTTGCTGGTATATTGCGAGACTAACCACAGCAGCTATGGCACTGTCGGAAACGGGGAAGGGACCCGAAAGTTTAATGTTGACCAAAGCGTACGCCTTGGAGATATGGTGAAGATTTTTAGGCGATATTGCTGGCTTCCGCTGAAAGAAGTCAACATAAGACGCCGATATAGCTAGAGTAGTGTGGAAATCTGCATTACTATCGGTCAGTAATGCTTTTTTTAAACCAAGTGATGATACTTTTACTTACAGGCTTCATCTGCGAGAATGCAATTAACCCAAATCGATTTTACAATGTCGAACTTGGTACAGAACTGCGGCGGAAATAGCGCATCACTAATCTCGAAGAACCCTAGTTCCAACGTCAGACAAAAAGGTGGCGCGGATGACTAGCCAAGCGATGAAGGGAGCATACATCGATGCATAAGCCCCATGGACTGAGAGTCGAGCTCTTGAGGGAACGAAGTGGCACATAGGTCGCTCCAGAGCACCTGCCGCGGGATTGCGTATCCAAATCGTGGAGCACACAAGATCGAATTGAGCTCTGCAAAGTTCCTTTGCTTCTTGGTGGATCGGCGCTGCTTGCCCGTGTTCTTCCCTCGCATGACGTGGGAGCGGATGATGCGCCTGTCAGAGCGGCCTATCCTGCTAAGGCTCTGATCAATGAACTGCAGTTCCATGGCGACGGTAATGATTGAATGTTATTCTCGTTGCAGTTCAAGCTACGCAGTAGGCATCTTTTTCTCAACTTTCGGGCTTTCGCGGCCCCAGCGGCGCAGATGACACGAGTGTAAGCCAACAACGATGGGATGAAAGGGGTGTCCGTGCACTTTCCTATCCAATCGTCTGTGACTCAGCAGTGTACAATACCTTGGCGTAAACAGTTGACTGAAGCCCTCCAGGCAATTATACATGGCCAGCCTGGAAATGGGTTGAATCGCCTGTTCAGACTTGTTGTTTTCAAGTTTCCGGAAATTATGCCTCAACCAGTCTGCGGTTGGGGTGATTACAAAGTAAAGATTCCGAAATGTTTTTTTCAATATCTGGATAGAATATTTTGCTAGATATAGCATTCGGGCCCGTTCCTGCTCGTAGTCTATTCGCCCATACTTTGAAAGACTGCACATACATTGATCGTGTTGGCTGGAGGGACCCTGTTGTTTCCTCCAATAGAGAGTAGCGCGCAAGAGGGTAGCTCGGCAGACCTTTCTGCAAGACAGGCAAATCTGTGGTGGAGCTTTTATACTGCATCCGTTGACTATCAACAGCATAAATTCATGAATTCATATATGTAAATCTTGTCACATATCAAACGAATGGTCTACGGGCCGATTGATAGGCAGGAGTGGTCCGGTCAACCGCATTCGGTTTCGCAGAGTGAAAGCATCGAATTATCATGGGAAGAAATAACGATTTGAAGCTACCAGAAATCCTAGATGCCCTTTGTTGTTGATTTTCCGTCGTTGTCACAAGCGGGTACAATATTGGGTGCCTGAAGGGGACAACAATCAGAAGACCAGAGACCAAAGTATCCTCTAGTCTCGCTGCAATCCTACATTAAACCTTATCAGCTAGCTACGACATGTGCCAAGGAGCAAACAAAGGATATGCAAACTTTGAAACCCAAGGGATGGAAAGATAAGGAGGATTAGGGAGAGACGGCAGACAAGGGGCAGAGAAATGTTACTTTCCATGAAGGGGCAACCAGCCCGGGTGTTAACGCATCTGGATACTAGTAGACTAATTCACCTCCGATTGCCAAGTATCATGACATCTGCAACCTCCAAGTCTTGGAAATTCTAGATTGTTCTCCCATCGATGGCGGGTCACAAATGAGTCGCAATTGGATATATGCACGACCATCCATTTCTAAAGACCCATCTTACAGTTCACCAGCCATCCAGTTTTAAAGCCCCTGCAGCATGGATAATGATAGATACTGCCCTTTTAGGTATCTCTAAACAGCCGGTGTGGAACGGTTTTGCACCGAACCGCGAACGGGCGTCGGAATGAGATCAACGTGGACCTCTGATGAGCCAATGATGTAGTCCGGGGTGCTATCAGCCTTGCCATAACCAGCCCCCGGATTGAATTTGGTCTGTTCGGTACATTGTTTGTTCGATAACCTTCCAAGCCATTCGGCCCGGTTGGGGTATCTACCGGTCACCTGATCGGTTTCTACTTATATCTCCCGTCGACATTGGCCACCTGATCGCAATGAACAACCCAAAATGTCATCGGTTCGGATGGGAAAGGACGGTTACCGGACATGCCAATCTTCGAGGTTCTGGACGTGTGATCAGCACCGTGTTTCGGTCGTTATCAAGATGGCTATATAGAAGAGCTGTGGTCTCCAGCTTCAATGTTTATTATCAACAGCTCCAGAGTATAAAGTTAATACTTCAATATCAATCTCTATCTTTTGTTTTCAAAGATATTTCTTTGACTCTGAATTCACAATGTCCTTCTTGAAGAATTTCTTCGGTACCTCCGCCCCGGCGCCTGAGCCGGTGAAGGAGAAGAAGGAGCCCATCCGTGCTCTGCCTGCTTCATGGTACACTTCCCAAGCTATGTATGAGCTTGAGCGCCGATCGATCTTCTCGCGCAAATGGCTCCTCACTACACATAAGCACCGCGTCCCCAATGCCGGTGACTGTGTTCAATATGACGCCGCTGGTTACGAGTTCGTCATCGCCAAGGATCACGAAGGAAACGTCAAGGCTTTCAACAGTGACCTCATTCCCGTTCATGTGCACCTTGACAAGAATGGTTTTGTCTGGGTCAACTTGGATGCCAGTGAGACCCCTGAGGTAGCTTGGAAGGATGACTTCGAGGGAGTCGATGAGCAGCCCCGATTCGAGCACTACAACTTCGAGGAATACCAATTCGATCACACCTGGGACATGGAGGGCAACTTCAACTGGAAGATCTTGGCTGACAACTACAACGAGTGCTACCACTGCCAAGTTGCCCACCCTGATATCCCCACCATTGCCGACCTCAACTCCTACTACGTCAAGACCAAGGGCGGCCACATTCAGCACTACGGTGCCCCCCGTCAGGATCAGATTGAGAAGGGCTTCCGGATAGCTACCACTTACTTCTGGCCCAACGCCTCTTTCAACATCTCGTGAGTACCTCTTATCACACTCGCCAGCATCGGAACGTTGCTAACCAACTATTCCAGTCCCAACTTCTTCTTCATGCAGCGATTCACTCCCACCAGCCCTACCAAGTGTGTAATGCGGTACGAAGTCTATCGCCACAAGGATGCCACCGATGAGGCCTTCAACCTCATCAGCGACATGTACAAGCGAATCATGTCCGAGGATAAGTACCTCTGCATCCACTCCCAGAAGAACCTCAACGCCGGTGTCTTTGTCAACGGCCAGCTCCACCCCGAGATGGAGCAGGGTCCTCTCCACTTCCAGAAGACTGTGCGCGATGTCGTCACGGAACACCGCTCCAAGGAGGAGGATGTTGGCCATGAGATCTGGCCCGCTCACCAGGCTGTTCCGGCTGTCAGCCAAGAAGAGATCGCTTTCCGGACAGGCACAGACAGCTACGTCAATGAGAATGACTCGTTGTTGGGAGGCCCTCTTGCCCCAGCAATTGCTGTCTAGACTGTTGATGGTGGACGGAAAAGAGCAATCCCTTGTTTACACTAATCTTGCATGTTCCCTTTAGCCTTACGTTTTTTATGACATTTTAGATTTTAGTTTGCATCGGCACAGTTTTGCCATTCCAGAATGAATGCTTCCCTCCCTTTCTTTATTATATGAAATCTTCCAATACATCTAGACTACAGCTTATTCGAAATTGGCTTCCACATTTTACGCGGAGAAACTCTCTCAAGCCCTCATGCCAAGCCAGCGGTAAAACATACCAGACTGCAGCTAGTTAGGCCGCAGATCACCCCCGTGGGAACTCCCATGGGAATTATGGGAGTTCCCAAGGGCCCACAGACTACATAGAATATCTCGTGATACCCAACATCGGTCTTTCCCTATTTGTGGCCTTATTGTTGAAACATAAGGTTTAGCAGCATGCTCGTCGCTATCACCATTGACTTTCTATCAACTCTTTGCCAACAAACCATAGGCCGCTTACTTCCTATCAACGTGGACCGTTTCACTGTTTTCAAATCATCGAACAGTAATAGACGACCCACAGGACCAGGCCTTCTCATGCTCCATAATCCCCCCCCCCCCCCTATCGACAACTAAACGGACCGACTTCGGCACCCTAGGATGCATGGACTACGGCTACCCCTCCACTGGCGGGTTTCTCATCAAAGAGGCAGACCTTCTCGTCATGTTTTTCCTGTCGCTCCCGCGCTCTTACATATCACAGCGCTCACCTAGTGCCGACGAAGAAGATAGGTTCTGTAATCTTTTGCGACGGACTGGTGCGACGTTCTGGCCGAGTAAGTGGGATTGGTTCAACGTGCAGGTGGGCTTAAGGGGGGTCACGGAGGAAGAAGAGAAGGTGATAGTTTACGGTTGGCTGACGGATGGAATAGGTGTGTGGGTGTTGAGGTTCCGGAATGCTAGGGATCTATGGAGGAGAGGATACAGATCATGAGAGAGTATGGCGCTACGTTTATTGATGTCACGCAGGTGGAGGAACTCAACCCGATTTGAGGTCTACATATTAACTAATCTCTGGGGTATTCACCGTAACGTTTCATCTCATTCCCAGTTGGTGTTCCAGTAGCTATTGAGCATCGGGTGAAAGAAATTGTCTCCCCGAGGTCAGTCCTACCCAAGAACTTGGTAAGCAAGCAAATTCCTTGGATTCTTGGCCGCGTGGTCGCATGGAGATTTGTTAATCTTATGTGCCCTCTACGATGTAATAGGAAAGAGACGTCCATGTAACAAGTACTATTCGGTACCATCTCGGGAAGTGAGCTCAATAGAGCGGCAGACGCGGGGATGACTCGAATAGTTTTGTTCAAACCCCGTTTGGGAAACCATGCATGAAAAGACAAAGGGTACCTTGAGATATCCAAACGCAGAGTTGACATGGCTCTTTATCTGGCCGGGATGGTTCCCTTTAGCACTCTTGACGTTTATTGGCCGTGGGCGAAGGTTTGCTGGGGGTCTGCAGATGAACAAGGAGTTTGATGCTAAATTTGGTATTAAACACCTAAAATATCCACTGCTTGCCACCCATACTTGACAGGTATTGATATTTATCGGCATTGATTCCTGGTGGTTCATATAATTCGAGATTCGTTCAAACGTCTGTATAAATCTGATTGATCCTTTGGATGGAATATCTTATTCAGGGGCATCATCGATACAATGAAACTCATACACTCATTTAGCGTCCTTATCCTGTTTTTCATTTCTTGGGCTGTTGCCCTCGAGCAGGGCAACAGTGACACTTTTCTGTCTAAGTCGGTCCACAAATGCGATGCCGTACTAACGGCCACTCTCGATGGCATTTGCCATATCTATACTGTTCAAGCAAGGGATAATTATGCAGTACTTGCCACTCAATATGGAATCACCACCACCAATATTGAGACCTGGAATACTGGGGTTTGGGGCTGGACAGGCTGTGATGGACTGAAGCAGGGTAGCTTCATCTGTCTGAGCTCTGGCAATCCTCCAATGCCAGCGGCTGTTCCGCAGGCTGTCTGTGGTCCTCAGGTTCCTTGTACTGCACGTCCTATCAGTATGTCTGATCTTGGCTCCCTAAACCCGTGTCCTTCTGGTGAGTGTGTGAGTGTCAATGTCATTCACTCCATCTTTTGACTGTTACTAATCTGACTATAAGTGCTCTAAGCTAGGTAAATGCGGTACTTCAACAAAGTTTTGTGATACGGGCTGTGATTCCAATTGCAAGGAGACAGGAACTTTAGCAAAGAAGAGCGCTTCTTCAGAAACAACTTCAAAGCCTCCAAGCCCAACTTCAAAGACATCCACTAAAGCAACAAATACAACTTCAAAGCAACACTGAAAACCACCACTACAAAGTCAAGCACAGCCACCGAGCAAAAAGCAGCCAAAACCACAAGTGAAGCACCAATTCCAACGTGGCAAGTAACAATATACAAAGACAAAGGTTGCAACAGCGACAAATACCTCTCAATCCAAGGACACGATATATCAAGAAACACAGCATGCATAAATCTCTCGGACAATCTCAACACAAACATCAATGACAAGAAAAACCTCATGTCGAAAGTGGACCGAATCCGGACTTAATTGGGCCAGCTGCAAAGATCAGAAGATCACAAAACCCAAGCCATACTTTATCACTCGAGGTCAGTGCATGGTCTACGGTGCTGGAGATTGCGCTACGAAATCGTACCAGGGGGATGTTAGAAATCCTGCGGTTGGCTGTCAATTTCCGTTCCAGGCGTCTTGGTCACCGGAGGATTTCGTTTCTATGCGGTGTTATGATAATGAATTTGGAGTGGTTGGAAATGTTGATGGATAACATCCGGAGAAAATTACTGGCGGGTGACAAAAATGGGGGTTTGGTTTGTGAGGGTTCGGAGTCTTCTGAGGTACCCAAGAAATATATATGCGTTCGTTTGGTTATATACACATTCCTGGGGACATTCTGTTTTCTTGCGTATGAAACATTAATTTGTTCTTATACAAGTTGAGCTATCATAAATGCATAATATATTGATTATTCTCTTGCTATGTCCAAAGAATGACAAAAAACATCGCGATATGGATGTGTGGGGTGGATCTTAACAATATATAGTCAAAAGTGGCAAATTATTTCATCAACCAGCCAAGTGGTCGAGCAGTAACTCGGTCATTCAATCTTCCTTGGTCTAGTGGTGATGATTTCCGCTTGTCATTAACACCGATAAGCGCGGGAGACCGGGGTTCGATTCCCCGAGGGAGAGTTTCTTTTTGCACTTTTTATATTCCTCTCCCACCACGAGGAATTTTACTTTTGTTCATTGCTTATTTTTTTAAGTATCTCATTAGAAAGAAGTATAAAATACATCAGTGCGTCTGTATTCATTACATAGTCCAACGTTTGACCCGTATTCCAGGATGGGTAACCGCATGCGTTTCCCCCGGCTACTGGCTTGAGGCAATAGAAGCAAGATGGATGGATACATCTTAAAGACATACCTTGAAATAGAGAAAAGCAGAAGCGGGAAAGATGCCTTGTGTTCCTCCAAGGTATTACTAGCGATCAGGGGGAAGATTATGTTGAGTTGGGATGCCCCAGGGTTCCTTCCAAAGTAGTCCACAAACAGCCTCACGTCCTTCTTTCATCTTCCTGTCGGCATTCTCTGGCTACTTTCTGTTTCGTCCCCGGACCGAAACCTCACTGCATTCAAATTTTGATGCCTCCGTAACGGAGACCCAATCTCAGAACCTAAGTCATGGCCTTCTGGGTGGACTGGCAATTATGGGAGAAGCTCAGCATGGTATGTTTTTTCATCTCGAACAGAGACTAATTCACTGACCGCTGAATCAACAGGTACTGGCAATACTGATTGTATGTGATATCCTATCTGCACAGTCACAGATATACAGCTGACAGCATCTGCAGGCCCTAGTACTGGTTTATGCCTTCGGCGTGTTAGCCTACAACCGGTGGATCATCCGCAAGCACGCAGCAGCAGAGGCACAAGCGAGAGAGGAAGAGGCCGAGCTGTATCCAATGCTGCACAGCGATGGCATACTCTTTGGTGCTCGGGCGTTGGAGAGTGGGATCGCAATCGAAGGAATCTGGGTGTCGAATCCCAATACACCGGTGCAGAGTCCGTGCCAGCCTGGAACCCCAGTTGGAAGCCGGCCGGTCAGCCCAGCACTGAAAATACTACCCAAAGCATCCGAGACCCCCAAATCCTCATTGGGATCCGGGTGTGCTCTGATAAGCCCGACACCCGTGGCTCCGGCTGGTCGACGTGCAGTCCTCTCACAGCTAGACTTAGCTTCTGCCAGCTTTGTTTATGAGACCAAGCAACACGCACTTTCAAGCCGCGCGAGCTTGCCGATCAACCCCAATGCCTTCTGCTTGTCACCGGCACAAGAGGAGAAACTGGTCAGCGGACAAGGCATAACGCGCAGCCAGAGGCGTGCCAGTTTCCATACCCGGCTTTTTAGCTCAAGCCGCCATTTTGAGGCGAAAGATCTCAGCATGGGCTCTGATGGTACTGATGTGACGCACCATGCCCCAACAGAGAATAAGCGGGCATCTCGGTTTACCAGTAAGATCAAAATATGACAGCACTCCCATGGAACCGAAGCTAATGCAAATTCTCCGATAGAAACCCTTCGTCGGCGATCATCAGAAGAGTTCCGACGCAAGATGAGCCGCATCTTCAATGAAAATATCCAGTTGGGCGTGCCGGCCGAACAACTTGAGTTCAACCCAGCTCTGCGAGAATACCAGAAGCGGGATTTTCGCAAGTCACTGCTTCGTCCTTTCCGTCCGTGGATGAACTCTGCTGAAAACGAAGCGCAGTGAAGAGCATTTCCCGAAAGAAGGACGACGTCTCTCTAGCAAACCTGCACGAAGACTAACCTTCACGTTGAGACTATCAACAGTTCCTCGCTGCTCTCAACACATCTATTGATTTCGACTTGGCCTTGCAGTACATGGTGCAGCTCAACATTTGGTCTTGCATAAGCTCCAATCGAAATGGAGAAAACATATTTAATGGAAGCATGACGATGTTTTCTCAACTGGGGCAGAATTGTATTCTTAGACCTTTGCAAATTGACATTGACATTGAAGTCCACATACCAGCAGTAGTCAGACCACCTCACAAAACATAAAATAACCCCACTGATACGAGAACTCAATGTAAATATGCACGAAATAAACTGGATCGAACTATTTGTTTTCTCCAAATCGGGCAAGGCCAAGGCAGCAGCCCCACGTGATCTCGCGATTCCATCAACGCGTCGAGGGGAATTGTTGACTCAAGAATAATTTGCCACAACTTGGCTTTTTACTCGAGCGACGACTTGTTGAATCACTACATACAACGCTGGTCTTGTTAGCCGGGCCCAAGAGGAGAAACCACCACCACGCGCGAATAATCCCCCACAAACGCGTCTCTGAATCAGTCCCGCGCCTCGCAGCCTCAAGTACCGACAAAAGAGGTAGACGGACACTCCGGAGTAATCGTATCAGAGGGGAACGCTGCTACAATGGAAGAACAAGAGCAATTCGATGAAAGCGGGCTTCCTGGCCCTGGTGCCCCAACCCCGCTCTCACAGCTGGACGTGAGTGAATACTGCATGCTCTTGCTAGGCGCCACTAGACTAGAATGCTGATGCTTGCTTGCTTCAATAGGGAGTCGCCGGTTTGACAGGGAGGGATATCAAGCTGTTTGTGGATGCAGGATACCACACTGTTGAGGCCGTTGCTTTCACGTACGTTTCCCATAACCATCTGGTTCATTGCGGCTGCAGAATCTGGCAGCTGCATCCTTAATCTCACATATGCTAATATGACCTTGAAACTTCAGACCGAAGCGGATACTGGAACAGATCAAGGGTATCTCGGAACAAAAGGCCACCAAGATCCTAGTAGAGGGTAAGCCCACCCCGAGTTTGGCACATACTGTTACTTGAAAATCAAACGCTGACTAGATTTGAATCATCCAGCTGCCAAACTAGTACCAATGGGTTTCACAACGGCAACAGAAATGCATGCCAGGCGAAGCGAGCTCATCTCCATCACAACGGGATCCAAGCGACTCGACACACTACTGGGAGGTGGCATTGAAACAGGATCAATTACGGAGCTGTTTGGAGAGTTCAGAACGGGAAAGAGTCAAATATGTCATACGCTTGCAGTAACCTGCCAGTTGCCCTTCGATATGGGTGGTGGTGAAGGCAAATGTCTGTATATCGACACAGAGGGAACATTCCGGCCTGTGCGTTTACTCGCAGTTGCTCAGCGATTCGGTCTCGTTGGCGAGGAGGTCCTTGATAATGTTGCTTATGCCCGTGCATACAACTCGGATCACCAGTTGCAGCTACTCAATCAAGCATCGCAGATGATGTGTGAGACGCGATTCTCTCTGCTGGTTGTTGACTCGGCCATGGCTTTGTACCGAACGGATTTCGCCGGCCGTGGTGAGCTCTCATCACGGCAAGGACATTTGGCCAAGTTCATGCGAACCCTGCAGCGCCTTGCAGATGAGTTCGGTATTGCAGTTGTTATTACCAACCAGGTTGTTGCACAGGTTGATGGTGGACCAAGTGCTATGTTCAACCCTGATCCTAAGAAGCCCATTGGAGGTAATATCATTGCACACGCCAGTACAACTCGACTGAGCTTGAAGAAGGGCCGTGGTGAGACTCGTGTCTGCAAGATTTATGACAGCCCTTGTCTTCCCGAGAGTGATTGTCTCTTTGCTATCAACGAAGATGGTATTGGTGACCCCAATGAGAAGGATCTAGAGGATAAATGAACGGACAATCCTTGTCTGCGACACGATGTTAGTGACTTGATGAGCACCACTCCGTTTTCATGCCTTTAGTGCGGACTGCAATATCTCAGCGTTTAACATTTGTATCTATAATAGCATTGAATCTATTATGAATAGCATTAGTTGCCTGATAGTGTAGACTTGGATGTATAAATCGAGACCAGGAAAACGTATATCTGACAAGCTAAAAGTTAAGACTGAAGTCAACTGTATACAGATAATACAATACTCACCCGTCAATAAAAAAGTGAGAGAAATGTAGTCAGGAATGATCTCCAGTGCAAAGTTCCGCTTTATCGCGCCAAGACTTTGTTTTTTGAGAGCTCCAGCTTCCCGCCCTGCAACACTTCCCTTCAACAGTGCCATGGAGTTCTGAGCTGACCCTGGAACCCCGCGTCAATCGATCATGGCGAGAATCTACAAAGACTCAAGGGTCGACCTTCGGCCATACTCGTCGAACACGGTCGCCAATATCCAATTTCCAGCCCACGACGGCAGCCTGATCAGTCGCCCACGCTTTTCAATCTCCTTCACCCAAGAGCAACCTCCGATCGCCAAGGACGAAGATGAATTCGCTAGACGCTACCTGGCGACACAGGGAGAGGTCTACTTCCGCAAACGCAGAGTCTACCCGCGGACTTTCCTGTGGAGGGTGATTAACGACAACAAGGTACTGGAGATCCAGTGCGCAGACTTGACAAAGGGCGGAACAGAAGTCTTTGAGTACAACGTAACTCTGCGACTCGATTTCCGAGAGCAAATCCTGCCCCATGGAGTTGCATTGGCGGATCCCGAGGACCACGAAATCCTCAATGTCTTTGTGATTACCGCCTCCAAGACCCTTCACACCGTGTCTCTACGCCCCGAATACTTCCGCCGGACCTCTTCAATCGATGAAAATGTGAAGGATTGGTGCAAGACCTTCTCCCCTGCCCCGTTGGCCTTTTCGCATCCCCACCGGCTACACGCGAGCAGCCCCCTGGAGCTCTTCATCTCTCTGGACAATGGCGCGCTCTTGCGGCTGACGCGGAGAGCTGGCGACGATGGTGAGTGATTGATTTCGCTTTCTGCTGCTTTCGCGACTCGAGTTTTGACTAATACTTCTTCCAACTAGGTTCGCACTGGTCTCCTCTTACCTTCGACGAACGGACATGGGGCTCTTCGATTCGGGGCCTCGTGAAATGGAACGCGCCCTCCTCGATCCGACATGATGGACGGAACCTTGATTTAAATGTCGCAAACGCCATTGCCACTACCTCCGACGAGACCTACGTTTTCGCGATTTGTCTAAATCACACCTTGAAGATCTGGAATCTCGCGACAAACAAACTGGCAGCAACAAAAGATCTCCTGGGACGCTCAATGCAAGACCCGGACCTTGTGCCATACACTTTGAACGCCGCCGAATCATCTTTCATGCGCGTCTTCAATGCCGAGCGGGCAATGGACGGAGGACACCGCTTCTATGTGGTCACTTATTCGCCTTTCGAGGATGGCAAGTTCAAGTTCTGGGCTGTAAAGGGTGGTCTCACCTCCGACCTGATCATTGAAGAGCTCTTCCCCGAGAGTGTTTTCCGGCCGGTGGATCCCGACGTCACTGGTAACATGTTCTGGAGCATTGCCGATTTCCAGGTCAAGTCTCGGGAAGAAGGCAAAGGAATGGAGTTGTGGGTTCTCTGGAGAAACCATGGTCTATACCAGCTCTACACTTTGCATTTCAACCTTCAAACTCTGGTCAAAGACTGGTCAAGCAATTGGGTTTCAACAACATTCGAAACCCATAAACAAGAAGCACCACCGGCTCTGGTTATCGACGATGTGTTGGACCCCACAGAAAAATGGCTTCAATATCTCTTGCAGCCGCACAGATATCTTCCGGAGGTCCTTGAGACCGCCCTGACTGTTTACCAAGAAGCCATCAAGCCGCTCTCGTCAGCTTCATCTGCGCCTAAGAAGAACATCCCATTGGCCGAACGACTCTGTTCGACAATAGCAGCAGCTGTCTCGCTTCGGAAATTTGCCGATGATGAGATGGACTTCACTAGATTCTGCACAGACACAGATTCCAAGTGGCGCCAGTTCTGGCAAGTCGCGGAGGATCTCAACAAGCGTCGATTCGAGCCTGTTTCTCTGACCTACGACTCATACACCGATATGCCATGGCTCCTTCTCTCAGACTCTTGTGCTGTCATTCGGGAATGCAGCATCACTGAATTGCTTCTGCACAACTCCAACACGGAATTGATTGATGGAGTGCCCAATATGATTGATCGCTGGAGGCACCGAAATGTCACTAGAGAGCTTGGCCCGTGCTATGATACAGCCTCCGCGCTAATGAAGATTGCATCTGATTTCCGGAAGAGATTCTCTCCCGAGCTCGAAGGAGCGTGCCGGGCTGCTGTTCATGCCGAAATCTTTTCCGAGCCCTCAACATCGATCACTGACCGCATGGAGATTTTCCGCGAGCGATGCGACTTCGTGAACGATATCTCCAACAAAGCATTTGACCTCCTAGATGCTGCGCTGAGCGAACATATGAAGACCGATTGTCTCCCTATGGAGGTGTTCAATTCCATCATCCATACCGCCGCGCTTGTTTTCTGTGGTGAGGACTCGGAACTTGCATCGACCTACTTCGGTGCTCGAGTTCTGGTCAGTGGTGCCCAGGAGACGATTTCTATCATGCGCCAGATGTTCTTCGACTTGTTGATCCTAGTTACCTTCGTGGATGGCGAATGGGAACAAAACTCCAGGTCTGACTTCAACGCGGCAGACCTCTTTGCCACCATGATTGACCTCCTACGAGAGTATGAGATGATGGACTGGCTCAGCTCGAATGTTCGCAAATGCCCCGCCAGTGTGCCTAAGGTACGGAATGAGTTGTCAACACCCAGCCTTTCGCTGAAAGACCGTAATGCGGCCAATAAGAACCAACGGACCGCAACTATTCTCGAAGATCTGTTTGTTACCGATATCAAGCCCCAGCAAGCCATTGACTCTCCACAAAGCTACACTTTGACCCTTGGAATCAGAGATGTTGTCGCGTGGATTACCCGCGAGGGCGAGGTCAACTACCAGAACGCTGTTGCCCACATACAATGCGATCTCATTGCGAAAAACAACATTGATCTTGCATGGGACTTCTCTCGTTTCCAGGCAAGCACGTCGTGGTCGACTTATGTCAAGGGTCGCTTACATGTGGCCATGTCTGAGTTCGATACTGCGGCTATCTACTTCCGGAAGGCTGCTTATTTGCTCTGTATGTTTTTTACTCTCTTTCTGTTAGCGCATCGCTAATTGTTCACAGCTTCCGGAAAACCACTGGGTAATCTCTCCGACATGTCGGCAGAGCTGCTTGACCTCCTTGATGTCGATTGCTTCCACAATGGTCTTGCGAAATATTACCAGCACATTCTTTCCATCTTTGAAAAGGTGCGCTCGTATTCACACGTCGCGGACTTTGCCAGCCTGGCGCTGCAAGCCCTCGATTCGGAACTAGGGGCCGAGCATGACTCCGACTACCCAACCATGCGCGACGATCTCCTGTCTCGTCTATTCACCGGAGCCCTCAAGACTTGCCAGTTCGACCAAGCATACTCCGCCCTGGCCAGACTACAGGATATCAAGTTGCAAAAAATAGAGCTGACCGAGCTTGTATCCACGATCCTGGCTGTTTCTGGTCCCGGCACCGCGGGCCTCAAGCAAATCCTCCGTTTCCCCACATCCCTCGTGCCCAGCATCGCCTCTTTCATCGACGAAATTCTCGTCCACCTCACCCGCAAACAGAGCACCTACGCCTCCTGGCTAGACGCCGACAACAATAAAGTCGAAACCTCCCCCGACTACAACCGCATCCTACAGGCCTACCGCATCGCCCGCAACGACTACCGCGGCGCCGCAGAGATCGCCTACCGCAATGTCCAGCGCCTCCGCAATGCCCGTGACGCACCGTCGTCAGCCCTCGTCCACAAAGGAAAGGACCGCGACGAATCCCGTCCTCCAGTCGAAGAAGACGATGCCGAAAGCAAGGAAATCCGCCACGAGCTGCTGTCATTAATCAACCTGCTCGCCTGCGTTGACAAGAGCGAGGCTTACATCCTAGTCGAGAACGGTCCCGCAATTAACGCCCCGACCGAGGAGAGACGGCGAAGCACACATGCCGACGAAGACGTCTTCATGGAGGATGCCAACGCTTCCACACCCCTCGCTAAACGATCCTCCACCGTCGCCTTCGCCCCAACCCACAACAGAGGCAACAGCATCTCGTCACCCATCAACCGGCGCGACAGCCTAGTCTCCTTCGAGGTCCCACCCACAAACCACCTCCTCAAGCGTCGCATCATCGTCACGCTTGAACATCTCCGTCGCGAATTCCAGTCCGAGCTCGACCGCGTTAGTCGCATTGAGCGTGGTGATTGGGAGTTTGGTCTTCTGGGCGAAGAAGATGATGAGGATTTCGATAATGATGAAACGATGGTTTTGTAGTTGAGGCGGGATTGATTTGTCTTTGGGGGTTTCTCTATCTATGACTCTTGTGACTTGCATTTTAGGCCGAGGGGTTTACTATTTGCCTCTTTTATTCGCTTTTTGAATTTGATCTTTCGTCCTGTGTATGGTACTTCGGTGTTTTCTCATAATCTTTTCTTTGTTAAGGTAGTGTATGTTTGGATGGGTGCAAAATAAGATTCGAATTGCTATTCTTTCTAGTACATTGAGGCATGCACGCGTAGTTGATGGTTTCATTTTTTCATGTCTTGACGACTTCGTGCAGTTTGCTCCGATCCAGCGATAAATTTCATATCCCTAGAACAGCACAGCACCCAACAAATTGTGTATTTTGTTGATCAGGGCGACGCACATGACTTATATCCGGAAGAGGAGGATTGTAGTCCATGGCAGAAAGAAGAACATTGGGGTTCAATAGGAGCTTATATAGCTCTATGAAATATAAGGTCGGAAAATAAGGGTAACCCTTCCCTAGA